AGGGGGGTTGGACTGGATGACCCACAGAGGTCCCTTCCAACCCCTACCATTCTGTGATTCTGTGAGTACCTAAATCAGCATTTATACATGCCACTTCCCACAGCTCAGAGAGGATTTACTGGGTACCAGGTACCCAGAATCATAACAAGAATATTCTCTCTTATTTCTTCAAAAGAAAATCTGAAACTGTGGTTATGCATCAATCGCACCAGCTTCTCAGATTTAGAGAAATTAATCAACATAACCCAAAGTTGGTTAAGGTAATTATCAACATAGATTACACAAACCAATATATTAGTGCATTCACAAGTGAACTGGAAATTCAACAGAACCATCTAAATCCCACTGAGAATGACCTTTCACTTTGGAGCAGGAAGCTGGCACTGCTCGGGAGATAACTGTCCCTGCGCCCCGCCATGGAGTGTGATCTGTGAAACGAAGGGACAAGAAGGAAATGTGAGCTCACCATAACGAAGCACATCCTGCAGAGTCCGGGACTACACAAGTCACCCATGTCCAGCAGACTAGGTCTGGCACCCATCTGGACTGAAAAGTGGTATCTGAGCTGCTTTGGTGAACAATTGCTTGAGGAGCTTTCCTCCCAGCACAGCAATCACTACTCCTGTCCTACTTGACTGGAAGGGATGTCACGCTCCTGCTCACATTAAGTCTCTCAAATTCAGGTTGCAACGTTTCCACACAGGTGGCAACTACAGCCCTATACATCAGTTACACCTTACAGTTCTCTGGCTTTACTCATACGTATCTGAAAGGAAAAGGAACTTCGTATTGAAAAGCCTGATGGAGACCAGCAGTGTCCAACTACAAACATCTCTGTTGACAGCAGTGGCACACTGACTTCCAAGGTAGGTGGACCTTCATCAACTATCTCCCTTCAACCTCAGCCCAGCTCAAGGTCGTTGGCACTAACTAACCTCTAGAAAAATACATCTTCTGGACACTCCACTCCACTGCTTTCGGTAAGCATTTCATTATTTGAGGGTTTTTACTATTAATGCTTAAACAACGAGGGGGAAGGAACATGGTGGAGCAGGGATGAAGTTTGCATACATAAAGAGCAGAAGACTGGTATGCTTTGACCTTTCTTCTAAAATGGGTCACAGTTTTAAGCATAATATGCCACCACCAAATACGGTAGACAATTAGCCTCTGTCTAAAATAAAACACACTGCAATTGCTACTGCTATTATCAAAGCAGATGTAAGAGGTTCATTTATAGCAGCTAGGAAAAAGGCAAGAGAGAAAGACTGGGCTGGGAAGGGCTAGGACCATAGCTGCGGACAGGGAAGTATGGGAGATGAGCTCTGACCGTACCTCGGATGCAGGACATGCAGAATATGAAAAATTAAACCAATAACACACACTCATCTGTTTAAAGGAAGAGGAAAGGAGAAAAGATGACAAGTGGGAAAAAGAAAACGATGAATCTAGAAATAAAACTCATTAGCAGTGCCTGCCCCATCATAGTGTGGTAAGAAACCTTTGCCTCACCACTGTTCAATGGGAAGGAAGGCTACATACACATGTAATCCATGAGTTCAGATTTTCCTCTCCCCCTCCCACGGAGGGATCTAAATCAGGTCTTTCTCTGGAAAAGAAGGGAGAGGTTTTCTTAAAATGAAACAAAGGGCATCCTTCTCTCTGCTGTCCCTTGAGGTAAGACAGAATAAGCATGATCTTGCTGCATTTTGACACACAGAGTTACCAAATCCTCTCTATCACTGCGTATTCCCTTTACTTTATTTAATAAATGAAATCTCATCAACTTATCCTTCTTCTATTATCACTGCTGACATCAATCTGATAATATTGGCTTGGCGTGGAATCGTGCTATTATATGTCCTCTTGATATTTAATTTAAGAGAAACGTCTGCAGTGGGGTGAATATGTGAAGCAAGCTTTTTATTACTGGCAGCAGTAAGGACGCTGGGAGTGAATTAGACATTCATCTTAGTCAGGGCCAATCTAGTGACTCAGAAGAGGTTTTCTTCTTAACCCTCTCCTAACTGTTCAATAGCAGCAGGTAACGGCTGCTCCAGTCAATAACGGCATT